TGTGCCTGAAGGGAAATATCTACAATCTGAATGACTGCATTAATACCCCAGTGTGCACCTAAACTGAATGGCAGCACTAACAGACTGGCATGTCTTTCTAAACACTTTCACTTCATACCTTTTTCATTTCAGATGGCTTAGTCTTGGCACTTTCTTCTTCCTCCTTATGAACCTTCACAACTTTTTCTGTATTCACATTTTGACTTGTCTGGTAAATAAAGTATACATATGAAATAAAGGTGCTTGCGAAACAACATTTGATAATACAAGTGATGACCTTCATTTAATTTCTAGATTATTGTTAACCTCCCACCTCTACCAATTTTTTTTTTTAAATAGTAGGCAGTAAAGTTCTCCACTAGGCACTGCAGAAACCGACACCAAGTACAAATGTGTTTAAAAGAAAAGCAGCAGATCAAAGGCTTTCCTGCAGGGTAACTGATGGAACTGCACAAAAATAAACAGAAAACAAAATATTCTGTGACCAAGTTTTTACTCCATCTTGATCTCATTCTGACCACTGATGAGCTGCGCGTCTGAATGGATAATTGATACCAGGCTCACCCACATCCCGCAAAGGGTGTGGGCTCCTGTCTAGGCTCCATTCCCCTACATTACAACTGCTGCTGCCAGGGTCTCCAGGTTCCCCTTCTCTCTTCTGACTTCAGCTTTCAGCCCTGCCCCTTGGGGACAGGGCAGTGGAGCATGGCTCATGGGGCAGAGTCCACAGCTTAGGATGCCTGGGTTGTCAGTGCAATGAAGTACAGCAAAGGCGGGGGGAAGGCCTGCTGTATGGAGCAGCCTGGTGGAGGGACGCCAGTAGACTCACGTTGTGTGACTCCTGGTTGCTCAGACACTGGACAGCTTTGATTTACATTAAATTGTAAGTTCTTTGGGGGAGAGTCCATGTTCTTATGCACTACAGACATTATTGGAATTGCAATGCATAAACCAGATAATGAGAAATTTCTAAAGCAACACTCATGAAGCGTTACTTCCTTGTCAATATTCTGCATGTATATTGGCACAACAGGTAGTTTCTCACTTCTGTAAGTAAATACTTTATTTGTATGGCACTGCCCAATGCAATTCTGTTCCCTGGAAATTAATCATCCCTCAATTTATCTTCAGAAGGACACAGTCGATGCACTCACAGAATTACAGCCATTGAAACGAGCAGGCAGCCTCTTGCCAGGCATCTTCGGTCTGCTTGCAGTAGGGTGCGATAGATTATTTGAGGTAGCTATTACATCATCAAAGCTTATGAGATCTAGAAAAGGATAAGAAAAGGGACCCCTATTAAATGCAAACACTCAGGAAGTATAAACATTTTCTTTTAAAATCAAACAGGAGACAACTTATTGGAATAATTCTAATTCAAAAAGACTTTCAAATGTACTATAGTCATGCTCAGGCAATGTAAGAAACAACCCTTGCAGACTTTTAAAATCAGTCTAAAAGACAATTGTTACACAAGAAACTTGAGAGAGTTTTATCCCATTAGCTAATACAATGGCTGGTAAAGGAATTCAGTCCATATTCCCAACAGACTAGTGGTTGGAGTGGTAAGACTGCCTGACAGACTTCTGACCTGAGTGCAGAGGAAAAAAACAGTTAAATCTCTCAAAATGCTTCTGAAGGAAATTTGGAATACGTAATGTTTAGTTATGCAGCTTCAGGTTTGCTTAATTAATTATTTTATGGGGAGTGAATTTTCTAATCTCAATATGTTCTAAACTGAGTATGTGAATCACAATTTGTTAAAGTCTCTAAATAGAAGAGCCAATGCTGCATGATTATGTCACTACACTAAGAGTCTTAAGAAAACCAATAAAATAAGTGGTACATACACACAGTCAAGTTAAATTTGCTTCAATAATAGGTGGGGGAAAATGGATCCTTTTAGCTCTCATCTACAATTTAAGCAGTCTCTTCATACACAACAACTTACCTACAAACAGCCAATCTCCATGAAGTCTATACTAAAAGATTTTATTTACTTTCATATTCAACTACTTGAAATTTCTTGTCATTTCTGAAAAGTCTCCTTATGCTTATGCCTCTACATAAGCAACATCTGAGAAAGAAAATGTTTCTCTTCTCTTTTGCCCCTTCTACTTTGTCCCTTGAAATAAGTGTTAATTCTGCATAAACTCATTAGGACAAAGCCAGTTAGTCTGAACAAGACACCTCAAGAGTGGTAAAGAGTGGAAATAATTAAAACTAAATTTACCGGCTGGGCGATTACAAATTAATAGCTTCAGTGCCTTAAAACCCCCATGTGTAAAATAGTTCACAATAATTACCAACCTAACTACACTGCGGTGAAGTTTATATGTTTATAAAAAAATACAGACATCATCACTATAAAGATCTAGAGTACTACATGTAACTTATTATGAAAGATGCATAGACACACCTATTCCATTTTTTTAAAAAGCCAAAATTTTTATAGTTTAGTCAAGCAAGAACTAATTTCCTTAGAAAGTCAATGCATTTGTTACCATTAGTTCTGCTATCTGATAATTCTACAATGAGAATTGCAGGCACCTATCACTTTTGTGAACATTAATTTCTGTTGGCAAATGAAGGGGAAAAAAGCATGGAAGAGAGGTTAAATGGACAGGATTAAAAGAATGGTAAAAATAGAATAGCAACGTGCTGATTCACAGAGCAAAGTTTGAGGGGGGACAGGATGACTGTGAAAGGAAAAAGGGGATTTATTTTACTATAATCATCCAAATACAATAGTTATTAAGGGAGCATATTCCTAGTGGCCTGTCTAATCTCAGAGCAGAAACTTAGGTTAAAAAAATAAAACTAGTTAGTTATGTATTATTGTAACGAGGAACAAAAGGAAAATAGGAAGAATATGTAAATAATACTTCTCTCTCAGGTAGATGTCCTTTGTGTGTGGCAAATGCAGGGATGTAAACTCATTGTGTGTTGAGTTTAATAAGCAGCGCAAGCCTTACATGCTGTGCAGCAAGTCGGCATGCGTTTTGCAAGGGCCTGGCTAGATGGGTTCCTGAATGAGTCTGGGTATGCCACCAAGAAATAAGCCTCGTTTGCATCCAGGTCTGTAAATCAGGGAGCTTAGGGGCAGGCTTGAGCACACACCCCAGGAGAGGCTGCAATCATGGTAACGGATCATGTGCACATGTGCAGGAGTAGCTCCAAAGCACCCCAAGCCTAAATTGGGGGCCTGGACATATGTGAGTGGATAGGATTTATTTGTCAGTGGACTGCTCAGGTGGCACAAACATCCCCAAAGCAGTCAGCTGTGTCGCTAGCAGAAGGGTCCACATGCAGAGGTTTCAGAAGAGCTGGGGGTGGGGGGAAGAGGGGGGGAGCCTGGGAGGGAGGCATGAATGCAAGGAAGTGCTCGTGGTACATCATGGAAGCAGTGAAATAATGCTAAGAACTGATCTTTTGCTTTAAGAGTGTCAACTCTTTAGGAGAGCAGCTGTTACACCTGAGAAAGTGCTCTGAGCCAACACACTGCTATCACAATAAAAATAATAGGGCACTCACTTCATTGGTTCACTCTTGTGACCTTTTTTCTTGTTAGTTTTGTACAGGGAGGAGAGTGCAGTTACTTGATACAAGGTGTTTAGTGGTTTTAGTTTTCCACCCCATACACACACCTTTTGATCTAATCCTACCTATGAACACGTGAAATCTAGACCCCGCTAAAATCACTGGGAATTTCACATGAACTACACTGGGGGTGGTTTCAATCATTAATAGCTTATTTATCAAGGGTCCCTTTTACAGTCACTGTTGGCTTTTGAGACTGTGTCTACCAAAGAGAAGGCTACACCGTGCCAAAAAGTGCTCCAATTATCATGTAATCTTCAGGATGGCAGACTCTAAAATGGATGAGGGTTTTGGCAGCGTGGAAGAGGGATCAGAAAGATCAATTAGCGTTGAATGGACAAAGCAACCCAGTAGGTTTCTATTGCAATCTAAATTTGGATCTGGGCATTGTACCGGGACCAGAAGCAGGTTGAAACACACTATATATGGTGAGTTCTGCTAGTAAACTGCCAAAAGCATCCCGGTTGGGCTTAACATACCACCTCCATTTGTCTGAAGAACCAGAGCACAGTATAAGAAAAGCAGGAGACATGAATGAAGTAGTAGTAACTCAAGCTGCCATAGTTACTAGGGTTCAGCAGCTCAAAACGCTAGCTACATCTCAATGACACCACCATGAAAAGATAAACTGAACATTTATGTTCTTAACAGAAATATACGCAGCCTTCTTTTCTCTTGGCCTACTGAGAATAAACATAATGGATCAAAAAAAAGTAAAGAGCATACATTATTAACTCCAGAATATTGAGATTTTAACTACGTCAAAATAAGTTTATGCCTACAATTTAGTATGGGGAATCCCCTTAAATAGAATATTATATTCAACATCTTTATAAACGAAACTAGACGATTTTAAGGGTAAACGAACCACTTTTTAAACAAAATGCAATTTAAACAAGAAGCCAATTAGGCAACTTACAAAGATTTTGTCCAAGATTTAATATACCAAATAATCAAAAATCTGAAAAAAAAACTCCCAGTGTGCATAACAAATACGAGAATCAAATAATCTGCGTGTATTCATATGTAAACCCATTCAACACAATGTTAAACTATAATCTGTTGCAAAAAGGTATGTCTGGTGCCTCAACTGGTAGGCTGAAATGATTAAAAATATTTGCTCTCTTCAAGAAAATCCCACTTTTGTTTGTTTTTTTAAATACATTTGAAGCTAAATTGTTTCTTAGTACCCAAGGAAAATATTCATTCAAAACAAACAAGAAAGGCATTGTAACATGAAAGTAAAAAAAAAATGAAACAAAAAAACTTTAGTATACACAATTGCAAAGGAAAAAATTAACTGTGTGCTGCTTAGAAGAAAAGGCTACGTGCATATATTGGTATGGCATACAGCGTATGGATTTCCTTATAGAATGTTATCTTACCAAAATGGAGTAGGGTAGGGTAATTTCCTGACACGTAAGAAGGGAAACATGGCAAACAGGATAGGAAACAAAATCTGGAAAGAAAAGTCAAGGAGAGGAATGTCTAGAAAAAAGATTCTGAACAAAAAAAATATTTTACAAAGCAGGAAAAAGAAACATTTGTAGAAGGAACAGAATTGCTTTCAATGTTCAGCATAATAGCATTGCCTATGTTAAATGCGTTTCCTAGATTCAAACAGAATCACTGCTTATTTGCAATCCATTATATTCTTTACTCTACCCAAGAGAGGTATCATCTATTGCAATTTTGAAACAAAACTTCAACAAGTGATAGGGAACAATCATTGCTTTGGAATTGGTCTAACTTCATCTTCACAAGTGCTGAACATTCAGAGCTACCACTAAGATCAGTATCTCTGAAACAAATCAGATCAAATATAAATCAATTTTATTCTGAAATCCTGAACTGTCAGAAATAAGGCTGGAACTTGCAAAATAACAACAAAGCAGCGAGACTGTACAAAAGTATTAGTTATTTCGGTAAAACTTCATTTTTTGTGCATTTGCTTCAGGGAAGCCACCCAGCAACTTGTTTTTCTTTGGATTATGCGATACAACAACTGACATCAGTACATTGCAACTATGGCCTTACAGCTTTGCTGTGCTGTATTTTGCATTTACCAGGACTCATGACATTT